AGCTTATATTTAGAGCTACAAATCAGTATATGATACTATATGCTGATCTTTAATCGAACTCGAACCAGACTCGAACTTGTATAACAGTTCGGTTCGAGTTCAGTTCAAATTTCGAACCTTTCTTGAACTCAAGTCAAAGTCCGGTTCGAATTTTGAACCGAACTCGAACTCAGGCAAAAGTCCAGTTCAGTTCAGTTCATAGGAACACTATCTCCTACTTGTCATTCTTAATAAACTTTACTATAATTATCCTGGTCAAGTAACTTATTATAATATTATTAAGCACTCACCAACTCTCTTAAGAACTCATAAAATGATAATAATATATAAAAATTATGTTCTTAAGAAAGCATTGAAAATTTGAAAATAACTCAATGATGATCAAATGAGTTCTGATTTTTTAAAAGTTCAAATGAGCTTATATAAAAATCAAGAATCTTTCTTTAATAATATGTTTAATTTATTTATTAATATAATTTATAATTAGTAACTTTCAATTAATCTTAAAAAAAAATAAAGATCATATTAAGACTTTAACAATGAGAATATATGTTATTATTTCTCACAATATTGTATGTGAGCAAGTCTTTAGTATATTGAGTTGGTATTTGGAAAAATGATGAATAAGTGAGTTTTTATGGATTAGTGAAGTATTTTATAATATTATGCTAATTCATAGAGGTTATATATAGGAATTAATATCTTAATTTTTATTAAGTTTTTATTTATATTTTAGAATACATATTAAATGATTAGTGGCTATAGCACAAATGCATTTTTTTAAATTGAAAATGCCAAATCAGAACTTAATTTTGTGAATTCAAATCTGAATCAAAATGAATTTTATCAATTTTTAATCAAATTGCAATTGCTATGCAAGAAGAAAATAATTTATTTAATGAAGAAGATTCTTTTTCTTTTCAAGAAAAATCTATAGAAGAAATTTCAGAGGATTCAGTAATTAATTTAATAGGTGAAAATTCATTAAATTTAGAAATTGAAAATTTTAAGTGTAATAAATCACTTTTTTATTATTTATATTATTTAAGCCAGTTAAAATTTGGAATTTAATTAGAGTTTGGGATTTAATCAGAGTTTGGGCTTTGACCAAAGTTTGGGATTTGACCAGAATTTGGGATTTGATCAGAGTGTGGAATTTGACCAGAGTTTGTGATTATAATTGTCCAAATATAATTTTTCCAATTTGGGTTATGGTCTTTTTCCATCTGGGATTTGGATTTTAGTGGGCATTTAAAGATTTAAGATTTGGACAGCAACTATAGGCACCTCCCCACACTCGTGTATATATACTAACAGACCAATTTCCTCTTATAGATGTCATCGCTTGCTGTTTCGGGAATCGCTCCATTTTTGGATTTCGCCGGTCTATTGATGTTCGTTGAGAACTCTCTATTTACTTGGTCATCGGTGCCACGTTTTATTTTTCACGTACCGCTAAGCAAGATATCGACGCCAAGCATAATTCCGACCTTTCTACACGTGATACCATGTTTAATGAAATTCTTGCTAATCGTGATGCCCAACTTACCACCGAACTTGCCGATCGGGATGCCAGATTCGTAACTGAACTCACCGATTACCGTGCCAAATTTAACGCCGAACTTACCTCGCGCGACGAAAAATTTACAGCAGAGGTCCAAAGAAGCTTTAAAATGCTTAATACTTCTACTGCAAAATTCGGTAATCGAACAAGTCCTTCAAACCTACCATAATAATTTTGGTAGAGTCGCAACCGAATTCGAATCAATCAATGGGGGTATTTCAACGCTCCAAAACGAAATCAATCGATATTATGCCGTTGTCCAGGCACGAAGTGACATTTCTCCAGAGATAAGAATTGAGCCTATCGAGGATGCAAATCAATCTGAAGCTCTTCCGGTTCGACCCGACGATCATTTTCGGATATATCTTCAGAAATCCTTTTTCCTCTCATGTTCGGAAAAAGATAAATAGATAACAATATGTTGTGATCCATTAACACTGAATGAAGGCTATGTGATGTGGTTGTTAACTTTTTCTCTGACTTCGAGCATATATGCGAAAAGGCGGGAATGATATGTGTGGTATTGTAATGGTTGATCTTTTTAATCTTAGGGTGGGAAAACTTAGTAAAGATATAATCAAAAATTATTATCGTAGAATTAATGATTTAAAAAGCAGTAAGTTAAACGAGCCCAAAGAATAGGGACAGTCATCGCCTTTCGGGCGGGTCCGACTGTTTTTCCTCCCATGCAAGCTCGCAATTATTTTCGTTTTAGATAAAAGTTTGCATGGGTTATACCTTTAATTAATGAATCAAAAATGAATAAAAGGTTTCGCCCATATGAGGGCTTCTTTTTAAGCGTATGCAACTCGTACCAGCGACTATACTGCGAGTCGATTTCTTCGTCAGTAAGATTTTAGTCAGGTGATTTTGCTACAGTACCTTGAATCTTGGTTAAATTTGATTGGATATCGTGAAACCTAAAATGTGATTTTGTGTAATTTAGTTTCAGTCTTGCATAAAAATGTTTTCCGATGCAACATCCAATTCTTTCTCAACTCCAGACTCCTCAACTCCAGGTTCCTTGTCTCGAGCTCCAAGTCCACATTCACGCTCTGCAGACGAGGAGGCATTCTTGGAATGTATCGAAGCTATCAAAGCCAATCTAGGAGACGTCAACGTTATCAAAAAAGCTAGCGATAAAGAAAAAAAATGGTGGATTGATGGAAATTATAAGGCTATCGATGAGGAAAGGTAGTAATCATTGTGTACCATTTCCTATTAACTATACTAAGGCTTTGCTTATCTTATTAGACTGCCTCTGCGTCTCATGGAAAATGTAACGTACCGTGAATATGAAAAGAAAAGTGAAATTGCAAACGCAGGCAGATTTTGGGAGTTTGATGATGGCGTTGTAATCATATATGAGTTGCCAAACCGTGATCATGAGGTTGCACACACTGCGTTTTCTCGACAATTTCTATCCGCCTTCACCAATCTACAATTTCAAGATGATGTTACGGGTGCTGGAGCGACAAGTATGTACCATTTAATGCTCTTGATTGTGTATAGATATCATTATTTCTGTTGCATTCAGCTTGTCTTGGTTCGGGGCGAAGATCTGCCAGACAAGCGGACACTTCATTTGTGCCCAATCGCTTACCTATACCATCTCCTCATCCAAGTGATGCTCAGGTATGCACTTTTAATTGTATTGGCAACGCATAACACAAAAATATGAACAAGTATCTTTGTTTATAGGGTAATCCCTGGCCAACCGTAGTCTGTGAGGTTGCCCGATCCCAAAGCCTTCCACATATACTCCAAAAAACCAATTCGTTCTGGTTAGCCCCAAACCGGTCAGAAGATGTGATAGTACTCAAACTATGGCCATGGAATCGTAGGAAGGATACAAATGGGCGCCCATTGCGTCGCTTAACAGTTTAGTATTACTTGTAAGTTCATTTTAGTTCTATCCATTCATCTAATGACTTGTATTCTTGATAGTGTTATAAGTTTTGTCGTCGTGCAAGCCTTCAAGCAGGTCAAGCACAAGGAAGGTTCCAGCCAGTCCAAACGGTAGGAATCAGTGTATTTATGCTGGTTGATCCATCATGTTTGACTTACAGAATCGCCCTATGCATTCGTTTTTTACAGTACGAATTTGGGACCATTGATAGACATCGAAGACCTTATAATGGTTGCTCAGCCCAGGGAATGCTTACCGTGACAATTGCGCCAGAATGTGTTTATGAAGGTTGTACTCCACCATATCCGCCGTATCCGCTTGCAGGGAACGTAATCATTGATTTGTTTAGTATCCAGCAAGCAATTTTTCGTTATCAAGGACAATAAATTCTTATATGCATATAGAAGTCACGGTAGCATTGTAATAAGTAGCAAAGTAATCATTTATCAAATTAGCTAGCTTTGTGCAATTTAGATATTTTGTGAATGAATAAAAAACTACATTTGCGATTTCAAAAAAAAAGACTCGGTTAGCAATTCCCAAAAATTATTTTTCTCGTCAATTTTGTCAGTAGCCTAGTTTTTTTTTCAGGCACTCGAAAACTCAAAAAATATATTTACTTTATTGTAAGGCTTAACTCTCGCCATTATGGCTACAATGACTCATCAAAATCGGGAAAATCCATCTTGTGCAATCACTTGTGCTATTCATATAATTCCTAACTCTTCGAGATACTTCAGAAAAATATTCTCATTAATTCAAAAATTGTTAAAATTAACGAATTAACAAGTAATATAACATTGAAAGAACAAAGACTGAATAAATTACAATTAATGGAGTTCACTAAAGGTTTTAAAAGTCTTCTATGATAGCTTGTATGCAAACTAACTAATTATTATCAATAAAAAATAGAAAAATAAAGTGAAAATATAAAAAGAATTAAAGAAATTAACAAATAGTTTCAAAGTAAATAACAGGACTTATTGAAAATGCCTAATAAAATAAAAT